TGATGGACCCAGGCTACTGGAACGAGAATTCACCGAAGGGGAATTTGGTGCTGTGGAAAAACCCTGTAAATGGATTAACATCTTGGATTAACATCACTCTTTAAAAACAATGGGAAAGAAAGAAGAAAAACAAGACACATCTGGTTACCGTTTAAACAATTATATGAATAATCATGTATGTACCTCTGCCAAACCTGCTGAATTGCAAACTGTAACTTTTGGAACTTCTAAAGGTCAAGTGGAACAAAGCTTACAGGCAGTATTAATAATACAGGAGGCATGATAAGCACCTACTGTGGTTTAACAGTAGTATTGATGGGAACACTACTGCTGCTTGCTATTTAAAATATAAACTTCATCAAGACACATAATTACAGCTATACAAATGCATTTACAGGTGCATTTAAATTACAAGTATTACACATTTCTGGAAGCAAGATTTACTCTTAAATGAGAACGTTGTATTAATAAAATGCTGTCAGTATCCCAGGCTTGTCTATTTTATTAACAATCTGTCTGATTTACCTTAGTCTTCAATGCAGATTTACACAAGAGATATTCTGCTACCAGTGAACTATTTCCAATTTACATGCAGAATCAAGCATAATCACTTACAATATACTAAAAACGATTTAACTTGGTGAAAAGAAATCCTACTGACAGGCACTACTCTGGATTTTAAGAGGCCCAGATGAAAGAAGAAGCAGAAAACTTTTTAAATAATTCCTTAATGTTAAAAATTACTTTAGTTCTCATTGAAAACTTAATAAAATCAATGAAAAAAGTTTAATTGATTTCAGATCAAGGTCTCAATGCGTTATTATATTAATGCACAAACAAAAATATATGCAGTCATATAGTACTAAATCTACAAATATGAAAGACTAGTACATATGATTTCTTGAAAATGTGTATTTTGATTTTAGCTTTGACTCTTAAAACTCAATACAATTGTTTTTAACTCTGCAAATAAAAATCATGCAAAAACTTTTCCCTCAAAATCTGTGAGTCACCTTTTTCTGTTTTTAATTAAGAAAACCTTTCATATTAAATTGAAGATTTTACTGTTTAATAAGTTATGAGACTGTAACTTCTTCCCAGAAATATCTTCTATGGAATCACCACTGATACCACTTCACCATGACCTGGAGCAGAATAGCTGTTCTGGAAACAGACTGATGAGAATGGTTGATATAGCTGTTCTTATCACAACAGAACATGCTACCACACTTGCAAAACTCACCCACCAAGGACATAAAGCCTTCTGGTGGAATTTTGTCCAAAACCACAGAATATGTACTGGCAGGAAATAATGGCTACCACAAATGCCGTAATTTTTGAATAATAAATAAATAATAATTATTAAAAAAGTAGCTCTTTGAACCTAAGTTCTCCAACCTGGAAAGTGATGGAAAATGTTTTGCCTAATTATATACCTCCCTCATCATTGTGGTGGATATCTGGATATCTCTAGGAGTGCAACTTGCAGCGAATTTAATTTGTGACACAGCATGATAATTCCTTTCTACAAATACGAAGTGCAAGCTTAGGTAAAATTCAAATTCAATTTGAGCTTGCTTAGAGGCAGCAAGCTCAAAACCACAATTTTAGGACTGTTGAAGCATAAAGAGCTAAAAAATAGAGCAAGGAATAACGACGTATCTAATACAGGCTCCTGACTGCCTGGTAAAGTTCCATGTAGATGCCTGTGAAAGCAACTGAAATGCAAATTGATTTGTGTCTTGTCTTGCATTTACTTACCATGTAATAACCATCACTGACTTAGGACACTTTTGTTAAATTTTATGTTGCACACTGCACAGTACCTTTCATCTTGTAATAGTATGTTTAGCACAAACAGAGTATGTTACCTGACTAGAGTTTTACTGAAGGATTAAAGCAGTATTGGCCACAACTTTTTCATCATCAATTTCTCTGAACTGAATGGCATCAATAGCATCTTTTCCGTTCTAGCAAATGAAGAAAAAAGCTCAAAGTGGAAGGTGGGTTTTAAAACTTTAGGTCTAATGTTATAAAGAAATACAGTCTTTTCTTGGCCCTATATCTTGGGCAGTGGAAAAAAAATGATCTCATCTGTAAACCACAAGTTTTAAGTCATTCTCAGTGCATATTGCACCTGGTTTTATCAAATAAAATTTGTTTACTCCTACAGAAATGACAGCATTCACAGGGTGAAAGATGAAGTAGTCTCCTCTTTCCATACATTTATAAAACAACTGAACAAAAGAATTTCAAAGTGCATTCTACAGGTATGCTTTAGTGACTGTATTAATTCTTTGCTTTTCCTTGCTGGATAAAAAAGGTTAAGGAATTTTTGGTAAGAGATAAAGATGCATACAAGTAATAAAAACTCCCTAAGACTTCCCTAGTACCACTACAAATACAGGGTGCTGGTAAAATTAATATCCTACTCAATTCTATCTCAAGGTCTTGTGGTTGAAGAGCTACTAGAATCCTTTTCCAGGCAACAGATCATTGTAAAGGAATACAGTGATGAACAACCAAGCATTTTAAAGTTGGTTGGGTTTTTTTTAAGCTTGGATTTCCTAAGAGAAGATACAGGGGGAAAAAAAAGTAATACTTACATGACACTATAAATAGTTTAAAATAAAAAGACTTTAATGAAAGAAAAAAAAACACTTTGGAAATTCATCTATGCTTTCTTTTCCAAGTGCAGTCTTTACATCAAGCCCATTATTCCCTTGATAAACATTTCAAGAATGTTCATGTAAAGACACTTCCCCTAAAATAAAAATCCACCATGGTTTCCAGGGGAATGGAATGACAATAATTTCAAAGTAGTTTTGGAAGCCCTCTCATTCAGCAATAAGAGCTTTGTCTAACTGAAGGCAGACCTTCAAGCTCTCCCATGTGTGTAGTCCTTTTCACTAGCTTTAAGAGAAAAAAACAATCTTAGACACAAAACACCGACACAAGTGGTTTTGGCATGGCTCATCTTTTGTTGTTAAACTAATCTAGATGGACAATACCTAACCTAGATTTTATATTTTATGTTGTGTTAGATGCAGTGCAGTTTCTTTCCAAATCATGGGATTTTGGAGGTTTGGTTTTCAGGCAGTTTAGCAAGGCAACTATTAAGAGCATGCAATATTAATCAAACAAAATTGCAGGGACTTGATATGTACATGCCAAATACTCCAACCATCTCTCATTTCTTGTTTTTCTAATTTCTTATCAGAAAACCAATTGAATTACTCAAATTACAGCAGTGTAAGTGAGGAAAGCCAACCTCAAGAATTGCAGCCAATGTTGCTGGCTAAAAAAGTCAGCCCTTATCCTCCGTTTCATTTGACAAACAGGTTAGCATGTGTTCTACTCAGAATCCAAACAAGTTCATCGAATCTGTGTGTTTGGTAACAAAACCAAACAAACAAAAAAAGAGGAAAAGGAAAAAAAAATAAATTCATGAAAAGGAAACTAATGGAAATTAATTATATAAAAAGCTTTTAAAATGTCTCCCAACTTGTACAATCACAGTCTTTGGTAGACCACTAGTATTAGAGCACTTAGCTAGCATTTCAGATAGTAATTAACTAATGCAAACTAGCAAGAAAAAGAAACAGTTCTGTTTTTTATTTTTCCTGAATTAAGTCAAAGCAAACCCAGCACAAAAATACACCAGCATAGGTCAGCAGTCATGCTAGACTCCAGTTCAGCAAGGGGCTGGAATACGTACTGAAGCATAACCATGGACCAAAGTCCATTTCGATTCCATGAAGTAGATATCGAAAAGAGGCAAGAAACAGCTGCAGTACCGACCTACGGTGCCCTCAGGTTTCATCATTGTTTCATGCTAAACTTGCCAGCTAGTTTTTTTTCTTCATTAAATTTCTGAAATCTAAGGAATGTTCTTTTTTGTTATAATGTACCAGATGTTTTCTTCGGGGTTAAGCACAGTTTAATTCTAGGATTTTTTTCTACTAGCTCTTCTAATTGAAATTTAGGTTTCAAAGACTTTTTTGAAGGGTAAAGAAGGACTGTTAAAAACACAGAAGTATCAAGGCTCAGAGTAAGCTGGTGAGGTAGGCATACCAGTCCCATTTTCAAAAGACACCGAGCAGTCAGCTTTTTACAAGACTACCAAAGTCCATAGCCTGCTGAACACATGACAGATTAAGTGCCTAAAGTAGAGGTCATTCTGTGTTCCAAGGTCATCACCTAGAATGAAATTATAAAACATCTTTTTCAAACTACTCCCTTTTCAAGAATAAACAGAAGTTCTGATATCTTTCTGATACTTCTGAAAATTTTTATGTCATATTAATAAATGTAAGATTAATCTATTAAAATATGACCGTACTGCTGTGAGAATTCCATTTTACAAAAACAGACGTGCACAAAAATGGAAGTCAGCTTATGTTTGTTTTCAAAAGATATCTGTCATATATAAAGCCCTGTTGTTAGCATTTCCTTGATTTTCTGATGACACTAAGTGGTATTTAAAGGTCAGCAAGGAAGAGACTGCAGATTGCCTGTGAGAGTGATTTGACTTCCCGTTCCCTGTTCACACCGGTCAATAAAAATTTTTCAAAATGTCAAGTTCTTTTCTTGTGAGGTTCCTACAGCCAGGCCTTTCTTCCGCAGCTCTTTGCCAAAACTCACATATTTGAACTCCCAGTCTTGTTATGCAATTTCCTTCTCAGAAGTTTTTAAATCAAAAGTAATCAATTGAGCTGTTTTTAAGCACTCAAAGTACCAGATGTATCAGCAAAAAGTAAGGTGTTTATTTTTTCCAAAACAGAGACAAAAAATAAAAGTATCATAAAGGATATAATTTTTTTGCAAGTGTACCATGGGTAAATATGAAAGGTAAGAATTAGAGCAGGCAAACAAATCTATCTACTCAGTGGAGCAAGAATATTTATGTCTCTTGGACATTTAAACTTCATTAATGTAAACTCTGGCCATTTAAAACATCAGAAAGGTTATGTCAGACCTACTGCACCAACTGAACTCAGAGGCTGCTTTCCTTGATATGATACTGATATTACTTATATAGCATTAGATTTGACAATACTGAA